CGTGGCTAGATCCATACGATGAGCATTGGGTGCCCAGCCCCCTAATGGATGTTCTTCTAAGAAACTTTCTAATAACTTCTGCCTTTCACAGTGAACATACACTTATAGGGTTAGCATACTGGCATTAACTGCACTTACATTATCATTTTTGCCTTACGTAAAAATACAGGTTTTGAAAGAGACAAACAAGGACACAAGCATTACTGTATTTTCCCAGAGAATCAACTTCAATGGAGATTCCTTTTTTTGGTCTGTTCTGAATGATTTTATTGGGGGCAGAAAAGAACGCATTGCTTACAGCCTCGCTGGCCTGGGAGTTTGGGGCCAGGTCACAGTTTCTTGCTCTTCCTGGAGAATCTCTGATTGAACTGGAAAGTTCAGGCTTGTGAGCCTGGGGTTCATACATTACTAAGAAAAAGTGTGCATAGAGACACTAAAAAGTTCTCTCCTCACCAAATTTTTCAATTCTTCCCTAATTCCCTCTTATTCCTCACAGGATGCTCATCTTGGGACACAAAAGGCCTTCCCAAGGATAAAGGTAATAAGACACCTGGGGTATAAAATAAGTAAGTCTTGACGGGAAATTATGAAAAATAAGAAATTATGCATACAAGAAACGTAAAGTCATCTGAATGGCCTCTCATTTGGTGACTAAGTTATTTTACATATTTAGAAGGAATATACTATAGAAACTTCTATTATTATTTTTCAATCTTGTGTTTGACCTCAACTTCTGGAACAATTACTAAACACAGAAAAATGCTATAACCCAGTAACTCTTGATTCACTGGGGGGGAAGACAAAAGAACTTTCTTGATGTCAACCAGTTTTTCTCAAATTTGTATCAGGCTTAGATACAAGGATGGACAGACACGTGATAAAAGGCAGAGTCGGTAAAATGTTAATGCTAGTCTAAGGTTTGCACTGTTCATTGATTGGGTACCCACTAATTCACATGGCTGACTATTTAAATTAATTAAAATTAAAGCAAAAATTGTAAATTCTCAGTTCCTCACTGGCACTGCACATTTCAAAGTGCTCAGGTGGCCTCAAGAGTCTGGTGAGACTAATAGGAGGAGAACAGGACATACAAACACTGCATAAAGTTTTCCTGAACAGCAATCCTAGTATGAGGAACCCTATTAGAATTCTTTCAAATTTTCTATACATTTTGGGAAATTTTTCACAAAACATTGGGAAAAAACCTTGAGGATTCAAGTGGCTTCAGCTTTCCCATCTACATGGTTCAAAGTAGTAAGATTCTCCTAGCTTGGCCTCAGCATTCAATATCTAATCTATGAAATTCTGAGTTATAGATATGAATCTTTTTCCAAAAAAGTGGAAATGGAAGACCTAAGAAAGCGAGAACTTAAAATGAAATCACTAAAGAGCCAGCTGACATTTGGGCCAGTGTTTTTAAGCTTGCAGTCAAAATGTGATTTTCTCTCAGATTAATAGACATAAAAGTCTCTTTGAA